TAGAGTCCACATCAGAGTCTTCCCTTACATCAGGGTGCCCATCAGAGTCCCCCCTTATATCAGGTCCACATTCAAGTCCCCATCACATCAGAGTTCACATCAAAGTCTCCCCTTACGGAGTAGTGGCCATTGGTTTTAGCTGTTAGTGTACCTCACATTTTTGGGTTATCAGGCCCTCAAAAATGCTGAGCCTATGAATAGGTACCTACAAATGACTGATATTTCACTTTCAAAAAATTATTATTTATGTTTTGCTCATATACAAGGTAAGTAGCTCTCTACAACTTTTTATTATCAGGTCGCACAAAAAAAAAAAGAGTTACAGGGTAAATATCAGGTACAAGTACTGTATATTTAAATTATTATCAAAAGGAATGAGGCCCCTGTGAATAAAGATACATTTCTTGTAGCATTGTGTCTATATATATATCTATATATATTGATAGTAGCATTGACATCAGTCTAAGTGCTCTCTTGTCGGTGACAAGACATGTAAAAAAGTTGAGTAATATTTATTTTAGCTCAAGGTTTCCCAGAATATCCAAGAAGTATAACCTAGGGTCTAGTATCACTGAGAAGCCCGTTTCTTCATACAGTAATTATGAAGAAGATTAACTCAAGGTTTCCCACAATATCGAATAGGCATAACCCAGAATCTAGTATCACCGAGGACCCCCTTTCACACAGAAACTGAACAATTTGCTTTCAATAGAGATTTGCAATGGAGCATTCCCATAATATATGCCACAGAGTACCCATAGACACATGTCATTTCTGGTATAGTCTTGGGATAATCTTTGGTCTGGTCTTCAGAAGGTTTAAATGTACATAGTTGTAACAGAGTTAAACATGCTTTGTGAAGAATAAATAGCTGAAATAGCTTGCCTGGCATCATAGAGGAGACCAATTTGTGTACTGCCAATAACTTATCTTATTTCTCATTGCTCAGAATTATGAGCTCAATGTTTGAAAGATTGAGTTTTAGGAAGTGACTTGACATCCATACTGATATAAAGGTCAGTTATTAAATTGGTGATGTGCAAAGAGACTGAATGGGTGAGCAGAGAAGAGAAACAGATTTGGGTGTCATCAGCATAGAGATGGTATTGGAAAGAGCACTTAGATAAGTTGGAGGAGAACGCAGAAAAAGAACAGAATATTGGAGGCCAAGGGAATAGACTTTTTTGAGGAGGTGGTCAAAGGCTGCAGAAGATTCTAATAGTAAGAGTACTGAGTAGTGCACATTGATTTTAGCATTTATTAAGTTGTTATTGAGTTTTTAATCTGTGGAGTGTTGTGGGCAAAAGCCAGACTGTAAGGTGTTAGGAAGGTTGTTATCAGTGAGATAGCAACTAATTGGATTGTGAGTAAATGGAAGTAAGGAGATGATAATTAGTTCTATCATGACTAATGTCATTTGTGAATGTGGCAGTCAATCAAACCAGCCTAGCCTCAGAATCAAATTATTCTTCCATAGATACCCATTTAATGGAGTTTATATGTGTGGAAAGCTGCAAAGGCACATAGGTTTTAATCTCTTTCCAGACTTGTTAGTTTTGTTAGTATTTTGTATAAAAAAATAGTTGAAATTCTTACAAGAGGACTAGTGTGTCAGGGAGTAAAGATGAACAATTTAAACTCAATGAGTTTAATTAATGTGGGATCTGGAGGTTTTGGAGATCATCTCATAGTTAAAGAGCAAGGAGAGCTAGAAAGGGTATTATCTAATGTCTAAAAGTCTGGGAAGTAATGAGGTACTGAGCAAAATCAAATCTATCTATACTATGTTTTTATCCATGGTAGAGAACAAAAATATATACATTTACACATATACAGTATCTGTTCATTTACTAAGAAGAGTTTAGACATTAGCTTAGAAAATATAGTAATATAAGTAGTTATAGAACCCTTTGTACCATTAGGTAGTCTGTAAAAAAGAACATTTTGGAACCATAAGAAAGACCCCCAACCAAACGGCTTGTCTGAAAGGGTAGTAAGCCACTAAATATAAAACTGTGGAGTTGAAGGGTGGGTGGTACATAATATGCTAGCAATAATAGAAGTGTTCTGTAAAAAAATATCATCTGAGGCGGTTGCAACGCCTTTCTTCTCTGTCTGTCAGAACTTCCCAAGGTGCATCTGGAGGCTGTATAGACGGGGCTGTTTGTTTTTTATCAAAGAAGGATCTGAAGGTTCATTGAAAGTTGTAGGGTGTGTACATATAGGTTTAAGAATAGGACATCACAGTATTATGTGCATTAAGAGAAGGAATTTTGTGGAACTCTCACCTTGTGCTTTCAACCTCATGCCAGCCCACACCCTAAAAGTGCCTGATATTTAACTCAGGTTTTGTTTTAAGTATGTATCTACTGCAAGTGCATTTTAAAAAGCTGGTAATCAGTTCTACCATCCTAGCAATAAACTGTATTTGTCATGTTGTAATTTTAGCTACTGAAAAACAGAACATGCACATATTGCACAGCTGGTTAAATTCAGTTACAGTACTGACTGAATTCAATTAGCCACCTAAGCTGTTATATTTAAGGTGTCTCAATAACGAAAGGGATACTTTGGCACACTGAACCATTAGGGTCCTTCATAATTTCTATGGCATTGATTAACATCGGTTCCTTCTTGACTTCTGCTTCTCTATGGTTTTGTCTGTTGCCAGTCATCCTTCAATAGAAGATTTTTGTTTATTGAGCCATGGCGGTTAATTGCTTTCTTTTTTTTAAAACTTGAATTCACTTGACAACAGATCCAACCCAAGAATGCATTCCGGGGCAGCTTGGTGATCGTGGATCCGATGGGAACCCAGGCCAACAAGGATTCCAAGGAGAAAGGGGACAGAAAGGTTTGTTTTCTTTCAGAGCATTGAATATTTTAGGTTTTGTCTTAACTTTAACTCTGTCTGTGCTATAGTTGTAGAAAAGGGTCTCCAAATGTTTCAGAGCAAGGGCCTCATCATATATTTTACAAATATTCATTATTTAGTCCACATCAGAGTCTCCCCTTACATCAGGGTGCCCATCAGAGTCCCCCCTTATATCAGGTCCACATTCAAGTCCCCATCACATCAGAGTTCACATCAAAGTCTCCCCTTACATCAAGATTCCCATCAGGGTCTCCCCTTACATCAGGGTCCCACTTACATCAGAGTCTCCATTCAAGTTCCCATCATATTCAAGTCCCATTCAGAGCCCCATTATATCAAAATGCGCTCTTGCACCAGGGTTCCCATGAGATCCTACTTTACATCAGGGTGCCCATAAGAGTCTCTCCTTACATAAGGTTCCCCCTTACATTTCATCTAAATCAGAGATCACCTTATAGCAGGGGTACAATCGGTGTCCCCCTTTACATCAGGGTCACCATTAGATTCCACCATTAAATCAATGTCCCCATCAGAGTTTTCCTTACCAATGTAAGGTCCACAGTGTGTCTGTAGCAGCAGGGTGGGATTCTGGAGGTGGAGAAGGTCTGGACAGAGGAAGTTCTATATTCCCGTCAATGCTGGGGCATGACCGGAAGGATGACAGCACAATGGGAGGTTACCTGCTCCAGACTGGGGGGGTGGGGTTACTATAGGCAGCCTCCGCTGACCTAAATCCTCAGTCTGTGCACATTGAGAATATACCACTGTGCCTACCTGAGAGTTGGATAAAGTCTTGTAGCGGTCTGAAGTTTGGATACCTCCTCTCTAGAACAAATAATTTCTGTACAGTCTTTAAGTATTGACTCTGAAAGATATTTTTCCTAGAAAACATTGTAAATATGACACAATTATATAAAATAATATAATGATTTAAATTATATATTGACTTGTCACCCCCTGTATGTTGCTTACAGTACGTAATATGTTTGGAACACAGGAAGCCAACTTTTAACTTATCAATACAACAAGTTTCTTTTTTTTCTGCTAACATTGTTTTGGACATGTAGCACTACCCTCTCGAGGGCCACTAAATTTTTGGGTCCACCTAACCACTGCACAGGCAGGCAACACACATTTTCCACACTCTCATCCAAAGTCAGTAAGCTTGAGCTTGGTTTTTGTGGTTTTTATTAGGGGTTAACAACTTGGACAGGGTCTAGGTGTATATGGAATGCCCAATAGAACTGTACAACTCTGGAGGACAAACTTCTTAGCAAAAAAAAAAGGGCAAAAATCAGCAGCGCACCTGTCTTTGCAAGGAGCGTTTTGTCCCCTTTGGTGAACCTCCTCAGAAATCTTCATATCTACCTGGCTGTCTTGGGAGTGTCCTTAAGCAAGGGATTCCGAAATCTACAAATGAAATAGTCTTAGGGAGAACTAGTTGGGTATTGCACCTGACTGCCCTGATCTCATATTTAAGGGTTGTCTTAACTACCATTAGTTAAGACAACCCTCCTGCCTGGGGATTGGCCAGGTTCCCTCACACATACAAATCTAGGCCTCCTTCCTTCCTCCAAAGTGCTGTGAGTTTCTAGAAGGGTGGGAGGGGGTGGGGGGGGGGGGCAGAAGCCCTGACCTGTAGAGCCTAACCTGAAGTCACTTCATTAACTCCCTCCCAGGCTGATTCATACCCAGGCTTTTAGCAAGCCTCTAACCAACCACAAAAAAATCTAAACTAGAAAGTGCTACAGATATCAACAGTAAGTTTTATTGGGACACATGCTGAATGTGTAGTTATGCTTTTAAAAATGTTAAAATTAAGACATCTTTTTAATATAGGATAAGTCACCTGCCTGGATATAAAAATTTTTTTAAATGTAGATAATATTTTCAGTAACTTCATTAAAGCAGCAGATGGAAAATGACTACAAATTACCCATGAGGAAGCAAAAAGAAAAGAAAAGTTCTATATTTTCATCAAAGATATTAGGATTCTCTTTTTCTCTTTTCATATTAATGTGTTACTTTTGTATTTGCTTTAATTATACATACAATTGTTTTAGGTGACAAAGGGGATGCCTGTGCAATATGTGAAACAATGCCATCACCACTTCCTGGGCCACCAGGTCCTCAGGGCCCTCCTGGGCAACCAGGTAAGACACAAAGTTTACAAGTGAAAGGTGATGCTGTCTGAAATTACAATGCCTAACATATTAGCATAAAGCATTTAAAACATTTGATAATAATTAGTGCAAATATATCATATGGCCTTTGTTGGTATTTAGAATATACTATGTTTTGTTTTTTAAGTATTTACAAAATTCAGAAAAGAAAATAGTTAAAAATGGAAGGAAGCAAAACAACATAAATAGTAAACATATGCTAGCAAGATTATAATAGAATATGAAGACTCAATCATGTAGTAAATAGATGATCATATAGCATGTTACCCTCAGTAATGTGAACTGGTGATGGGTGCTTTTGGAGCCTCTAGTAGTTTTCTACAGCAATGCAGAACTTCACTCTTAGATCTCCAAAGCTTTATTTAATCACTTCAGGACCACTATACATATACAGTAAGTCCTGGTCAGGAAATGGTTATATGAGGATCATGGCTGTAGCATAATAATTTGCAGCTGACAATGAACTTTCCTGTAAAAGTGATATGAGTGGCTCTGCAGCCACCTGATCATTTTTACAGGGTGTGAAGGAGCCTCCCTTCTGCCACCACCATTCCCAGGCTCTCACAAACCGGGACTACCACACACATAGGGCCAGCTGCAGACGCAAGGAAAAGGTATAACATCTGTTTCTCCACTTCCTCTGTGACAAATTATCCTAGAGATGACAAGGTTTTCATCTCTTCGGTTTTGGTTTGTTGTTTACTAGCTTTTACCAGCTAGGCAAGCGTCAGATCAAACCAGTCTCAGTTTATTCATATGCTTTTGAGGGCAGAAGAGAGATCAGGGGTGTTATAGACCTCAGGTCTTTCCATAAAGAGTACCTCTCACTGCCCATGCTATTACAAGCGATGTTGTATATCCCTTGTGAGAGCAATAAAGTGTTTTTTTAAAAAAATAAATAGATGGTGTAAAAAATTGTAAACAAATTTGTGCTCATGCTCAAATGTTAATGTACACATTGGTCCTGAATACATCTGTAAACGCTGCTCTCACCATATATGACGTATCACTGTGAACATCAGAGTGAGAGCAATAATACTAGCATCAGACCTTTTTTTAACTCTAAACTCTAACCAACTCTAACCGGTAAATTATTTTAAAATTATAACAGCCACCATTTTATTCTCAAGGGTCTTTGCATTAAAAATATTTATAATATTTGGGGGTTCTAACTAATTTTCTAGCAAAAAAAATCGTTTATAGAATATTTCAGAATTGGCCTAGGCGGAGAGTGGTTAAGAAACATTATACTGTATATGTTGCTGCTAAAATAGAGAAAAACATTATAATGTAGCATATTTGATTTATATATTATGTTTATTAATTTAAGTAAGCTCAGCACATTTAATAATCATACTAGGTTTTTCTAAGGAAGTCTATGCAAATGGAAAGAATGGGGGAGAATCCAGGACCCCAGTGTTTTAAGGCAAGTTTGTTAACCTCTTGAATGTGGATCAGAGATGCCAGTCTGATCAATACCCAAGTCTTGAGTCAAACACACCAATGATGTGGTGATCCCCAAATTATGTGGGATAGTTGTTATAGGTCTGTGACAAGCTGTGCTCAGTGGATCCATTTACATTAATTCAGAATACTTTTGAAAACCCTTGAAATGCAAAATGATGTATAGTCTACAATGACCTTGATTTATCTATGTAGAAACTAACATATCTGTCGCTGCAACTTAAAAGTAACCACTGTATACATCAAGAACAGATTATAAATGAAAAATAAAGTTTTAGAGGAAGCAGTCTTCTGGTTGCTATTTTTTAAAAGAGTATCTTATTTATACAATATTATACAATATATGTTTTTTTCCCAAGGATTTCCTGGTCAGCAAGGTAGCAAAGGAGACAGAGGGCAACCAGGTTATGACGGCTCACCAGGAGCACCTGTATGTACTGGATTTTTATTATTAAAATGAGTTAGTAATACAAAAGTTATAAATGTTGTAACTGTAAGCCATGTTTTATTGTAGTGTGTATAGTGTTGAATGTGTCAACATATCAAATATTAATTCTGAAATTTTAACAAAAAACTGATTTTTAACTGAACTGATTTTTATCTTAAATAATATTTATTAAAGTCAAATTCCAGCCAAAATTTTTTATTTTAACTTTTGGTAGACTGGGGAGAGTACATACCTCTGTCAAATTTTTATTGTTGTCTGTGACTTTGTTGGAGAGATTTCAACTCACTTCCTTTTCCTGAGAGAGGCTGTAACAACATGAGAAGAAATGAAGGGAGCAGTTGTCAGTGGCAAAGGAATACTCTCCATTTATTTGAAAAAGAGATGTATTGTTACTGTCTGCGTCATCACTGGGAAGTTAGCTTGTCACTTCCTGTTCAGACAGGAAGCAAGGATAAATCTCCCCAATTCTCTCCAACTAGGTCAGAGACCGTGTTGGAAACTCACTCTGTACAGAAAAAAAAAGTTTAAATTTACTAGGACTTTAAGATTAACTTTATTGTCTTTATATAAAACATACACTAATGCTTATTGTAGTCACTATTGGGTTGATTCACTAAAGGCAAATAGACTGCGTACTTTGCAAAGTGCAGTTGTGCTCTGCAAGTGCAGCTGCTCTAGAGCTTAGTAAATGACATAAATCTTCACTTTGCAAAGAATACCCAATCACATGGAAGGAAAATTAAAAAAACAGCACTTTTGCTTGCACATGTTTGGATGATGGAAGTCAGCAGAGCCTCTGCTCATTTACTATGCTCAGGAGCAACTGCTCTTGCAGAGTGTAACTGCACTTTGCAAAGTGCACAGTGTATTTGCCTTTAGTAAATCAAATGTGTTTGCATTTGCATTGACCTTACAAAGTAAACTCTGTTGCAAAACCCCTGTGTTTCTGCATTCAGACCATCCTGCTCATTCAGTAAATGAAGGTTTTAATCAGTGAAAAACAAAAGCCTATGAGATTCTATGCCAATAAAATAAAACTCGTTAATGTATTTTTCCAGGGACCACAAGGTATTTCAGGTCTTCTAGGGAGTCCTGGAGCAAAGGGAGAACCTGGGGAAGTTTATTTTGAACCAAAACTTAAGGGCGAAAAGGGAGAACCAGGTTTCCCAGGACAACAAGGAACTCCTGGAAAAGAAGGAAGACCTGGAAGAGACGGAGTACCAGGTCAGCCTGGCCCCAAAGGTGCTTTGGTATGTTTGTTTTTAAATCATAATTTCCATATTTATTATATTATTTTATACAAGATTTGATAAATGAGCTAGTTAATTACAAATATATACAAAATGCAAGTTCGCATTGAACTAGCATGTTCTGCTTTTGGAGAAGGAGGGGTAGTCCTAGCCTACTGATCCTTCATCCAAGCAGGATCTTCTATAGAACATAATCTGACATAATAGAAGGATAATAAAGGGTATCAAGATAGAAAATGTGATTCTGATGATCAAGTACTGTAGATATCCTCTCTCTGCAGCATGGAAAAAAATAAATAAATATATATATATATATATATATATATATATATACACTGATCAAAAAAGTTAAAGGAACACTTTTTAATCAGAATATAGCATCAAGTCAATTAAACTCCTGGTCAGTTAAGTAGCAGGGTTGGTTGTTAATCAGTTTCAGCTGCTTTGGTGTTAATGAAAACAACAAGTGCTCTAGATGGGCAACAATGAGATGACCCCCTAAACAGGAATGATTTTAGAGGTGGAGGCATTTTTTCCCTTCTCACCTTTTCTGACTGTTTTTCACTAGTTTTGCATTTGGCTAGGATCAGTGTCACTACTGGTAGCATGAGGCGATATCTGGACCCTTCTCTTTTTCTTCTTTCAACAACAAGTCTCTTTCTCAACACCCGCAAATCCTGATGACAATATACCTTAAAAGAAAAAAACTCAGCATAGTGTCATACCTTTTAAGTAATAAATACACACGTGCCACTCACTGTGCAACATGCAAAAAAAAAAAAAAAAAAAAAAAAAAATCTATATCGTGATCGAACTTCCGGTCAGCGTCGATACGTCTGACGTCACGTGTCCCTAGGGACGTCAGACGTATCGACGCTGACCGGAAGTGCGATCGCAGCCATCTTGGAAGTGGGAACATGTGGCCAGTATTCCCTAGCTTGTCTACACTCCTATCCCTATGAGGAGGAGCTGCTTCATCCAAATTTTAATGTGAGTTATTAAATAAAGGATGATATCTTTGAATTCACTATTTGTAATTGCGGATTTTCTTATGAGGTAAATGGAAGAAAAACCCTAATACTGGATGGAACCCTAATGATAAGAAGTTAACCCAGATTTATGTTATGCCCTGTCATTTCATATATAGGGTAATTATCCATCAGTACACGAGTTGGAGAGTGTTGGTTTGGGTTTAAGGTGATCACTGATGAATATAGAGTGCGGTGATACACATTTGCAGTGATATATTTGAGTTGTTTTCACATATTGTGTAATTGACACTTTGTGTGAGTGTTTTCACTTATAAATATATTTTGGGTACACAAAGGAATATTTGCATGTGTGTAGATATTCGTATATAGAGTAAACACACATATATAGATTTTTTTTTAATTTTTTTTATTTTTTTGCATGTTGCACAGTGAGTGGCACGTGTGTATTTATTACTTAAAAGGTATGACACTATGTTGAGTTTTTTTTTTTTTTGAGGTATATTGTCATCAGGATTTGCGGGTGTTGAGAAAGAGACTTGTTGTTGAAAGAAGAAAAAGAGATTGTGTTGAACAATTGTTTGCACCTGCGGGGATTATTTCGATATTTTGGACACTTTTGCTTTGTTTGTTTTTTTTATATTTTATTGTATTCTTTATTTTTAAAGAGAAAAGTTTTATAATTTTTGTTTGATTGGCCTTCAAGGGTGGAGGTGGATAACTTTTCTGGGTTATTACATGGGGATTTTTGTGCTGTGTATTTTAATATATGGATATCTGGACCCTACAGAGGTTGCACAGGCAGTCCAAGTCATCCAGGGTGGTACATTAATACGTGCCATTGCCAGAAGGTTTGCCATGTCTCTCAGCACAGTCTAAAGAGCATGAAGGAGATTCCAGGAGACAGGCAGTTGCTCGAGGAGAGCTGGACAGGGCCGTAGAAGGTCCTTAACCCATAACCGGGACTGGTATCTGCTCTTTTGTGCAAGGAGGAACAGGATGAGCACTGCCAGAGCCCTACAAAATGACCTCCAGCAGGCTACTAGTGTGAATGTCTCTGACCAAACATCAGAAATAGACTTCAGGAGGGTGGCCTGAGGGCCCTGTGCTCACTGCCCAGCACCATAGAGCTCGATTGACATTTGCCATTGAACACCAGAATTGGCAGGTCTGCCACTGGCACTCTGTGCTTTTCACAGATGAAAGCAGGTTCAACCTGAGCACATGAGACAGACGTGAAAGGGTCTGGAGAAGCCATGGAAAACATTATGCTGCCTGTGACATTGTTCAGCATGACTGTTTTGGTGGTGGGTCAGTGATGGTCCGGGGAGGCATATCCATGGAGGGACACACAGACCTCTACAGGCTAGACAATGGCACCCTGACTGCCATTAGGTATCAGGATGAAATCCTTGGACCCATTGTCAGACCCTATGCTGGTGAAGTGGGCCCTGGGTTCCTCCTGGTGCACGACAATGCCCGGCCTCCTGTGGCGAGAGTATGTAGGCAGTTCCTGGAGGATGAAGGAACTGATACCACTGAATGGCCCCCACATTTGCCTGACCTAAACCCAATAGTACACCTCTGGGATATCATGTTTTGGTCCATCCAACTCCGCCAGGTTGCATCTCAGACTGTTCAGGAGTGCAGTGATGCCCTGGTCCAGATCTTTGAGGAAATACCCGGGAACACCATCCATTGTCTCATTAGGAGCATCCTCCAACATTGTTAGGCATGCATACAAGCACGTGGAGGCAATACAAAGTACTGAGTACCATTTTGAGTTGCTGCAATGAAATTTCAGCAAAATGAACTAGCCTGCTGCATCCTTTTTTCACTTTGATTTTCGGGGTGTCTTTGAATTCAGTCCTCTGTAGGTTGATAATTTTCATTTTTAACACATTACCCAGTCCATATCAGTATAGATATCCAGTATGATATTTTCCCTATTGAGATCTGATGTGTTTTCATAGTATTTATTAAATTTTTTTGAGCGCTGTATATATATATATATATATATATATATATATATATATATATATATATACACAGTATATATATATATATATATATATATATATATATATATATATATATATATATATATACATATACCCCGAGAGGCAATCGGATATTCCCTGGATCAACTTTACCTATAAATGTTAGTATCCAGTTATATTCTGTGTTTCTAAGAAACAATCCAGGTCTTTTTTAAAGCAATCCACTGAGCTGGCCAGAATCAACTCTTGAGGGAGTCTATTCCACATTTTCACAGCTCTCACTGTAAAGAAACCTTTCCGTGTTTGGAGATTACATTTCTTTTCCTCCAGACGTAAAGAGTGCCCCCTTGTCCTCTGTGATGACCTCAGGGTGAATAGCTCTACACCGAGTTCACCATTATGAACCACTGATGTATTTATACATGTTGATCATATCCCCCCTTAATCTCCTCTTCTCAAGAGAGAATAAATTCAGTTCCTGTAATCTTTCCTCATAGTTGAGCTCCTCCATGCCTCCTGTCAGTTTGGTTGCCCTTCTCTGTACTTTCTCCAGTTCCCCAATGTTCTTTTTGTAAATTGGTGCCCAAAATTGAACTGCATATTCCCAATGAGGTATTACTAATGATTTGTACAGGGGTAATATGATATCTCTCTCTGGAGTCTATACCTCTTTTAATACAAGTTAGGATTTTGTTCACTTTAGAAACTGCAGCTTGGCATTGCATGCCATTATTAAGCTTGTGATCTATCAGAACTCCCAGATCCTTCTCCACCATTGATTCCCCCAATTGTACGCCCCCTAGTATGTATGATGTATGCATATTATTAGCCTCCAAGTGCAGAACCTTACATTTATCAACATTAAACCTCATTTCCCCCATAGTTGCCCAATTAAATAGCGCATTGAGGTCGGCTTGTAAGTTGGAGACATCCTGTAAGGAAGTTATCCTAGCTTGGCGTCATCTCTAAAGACTGAAATGGTATTTTTAATTCCAGACCCTATATCATTTATAAATATATTAAAAAGTAATGGTCCCAACACTGAACCTTGGGGTACACCACTGACAATCCTAGACCATGCAGAATATGAATCATTAACCACTACACTTTGAATACAATCTTTTAGCCAGTTTTCTATCCATTTACATATGTATTTTTCCAAGCTCGTAGACTTTACCTTACACATTAGCCGTGTGTGGGGAACTGTGTCAAACGCTTTTGTATAATCCAAGTATACCATGTCCACCGCCACCTCCTCATAAAAAGAAATCAGATTTGTTTGACAACTTCTGTCCTTCACGAATCCATGATGTCTGATGCTTAAAATATTTTTTTCCAGCAAGAACTCATCTGTGTGGTCTTTTATTAAACTTTCCAGTATCTTCCCAACTTTAGAAGTTATACTAACAAGTCTGTAATTACTTGGTACAGATTTTGACCCCTTTTTAAATATTGGCACCACATTGGCCTTACGCCAGTCCAGTGGTACTATGTAAATCATTAAAGAGTCCCTAAAAATTAGAAACAATGGCTTTATAATGACAGAGCTCAATTATTTAAGGACCCGGGGGTGTATGCCATCCGGCACAGGTGCTTTATTCACCTTTATTCTGTCTAAATATTTTTGGATCACATCAATTGTGAACCAATATGGATCATCTGGAACTGTGTCAATTCCATGCCTATTATGGACAAGAGCTCCCCCATGCTCCTTTGTATGCACAGAGCTGATGAAGGTATTTATTAAATTTGCCTTCTCTTTGTCCCCAGTCACCAACTCTAGATTATTTTGTAAAGGGCCTACATTTTTTTTACTATTTACTATTAATATATTTTAGGAATTTTTTTGGATTGGCCCTGCTATCTTTTGCAATATGTCATTCGTTTTCAAATTTTCCGGCCTTTTTTTCCTTTTTGCACATTCTGTTATATTCTTTGGCATGTTTGATGACAGCGTTCCTTCATTTTTGTATTTAATAAAAGCTCTTTTCTTATTATCTATAGCTTTTTT